ACAGCTGTTGGAGGAGAAAGAAAAGAAACAAGAAGAATGAGAAAAGAAACAAGAAAAGAGATTACAGCAGTTGTTGGAGGAAAAAGAAAAGGAACAAGAAGAGAGACAACAGCAGTGGCAAGAAAACCTGCAATAGTGGCAGTACGAACAGTAAAATAAACAAGAATGAATTTACAGTTTGTAGGAGACATATGTACTTACCAGATGTACTTTCCAACCTAGATTCACTACATTGTAAATCTTGTTGGAATTCAGTTTCTGTTTTCACATTGATAACACTATATTTTGAATTATCCAAATCATCATCATTGCTGACACTGAACTTTGAAATGACCTCATCTTTTGGTAGGTCATGATGCTGCTCTGTTTTCACTGTGACAAAGATGTTCTAAAATCAAACAACACATTCAAAAGGTCAATAAAAACAACAACTAGTGACATCACTAAAGTAAACAAATACATATTATCTCCAGTTGATTAATCTATACAAATATAATAGTACTGTCTGTTGCCTGTTGTATGTCCATGTAACTACTTCACAGGGTGTGGATGGATCTTCACCAAAGGTGGTCCATGAGGTGGTACATACAAATTTTCAGTTTTGCATTTTGCAATAGGCAGTTTTTACGGGCATTTTTCACCACTACTTCGCCTGCTGTTGATGGATCTTCACCAAATTTGACATGAAGGTTTGTTGGGTCCATGCATTTTTTACAATTCATGTCCTAAGATAACCTTTCATTAACAATGATTTTACTAACTTCCAAACAGAGGATGGGTACTCCAGCTAGTTTAAAATATGATGATACAAATATAACATTTCAAAGTTAGTTATGTGTAACAAACAAAACTAAAACTATTTTAATCTTTTTTCAATAAACCCAGAAACAAAGATTACAAAATGTAAGAAAAAGCAATTTTGTTTGTGTTACATGTAGTTTTATATTAACATACACATCTTGAAGACAATAACATGATTAACAGGAAATATTATATAACCTAACATTTTGTTATCTAAGGAAATACTCGAAGAATAAAAAATACAGAGGTTATAATTTTTTTATATTGTAAATTTATTTCCAATAGGTACGTACCGTCTCTCACATAAACAGCTGTTCTCGTTCAGTGCTGTCCTCGATATGCAAATTTTTTTCACATGCTACAAGCTTTAAGCTCCCAGGTACCTTAACATCCAACATGGTTCAACTGCATCTCACATATAAATCATCATACGACAACCTTCCACCAATAGGAGTGTTACACACCCTTCTGATGCATGTGACTCCCTCTATCTGATTCTACTGAACTACCATAAGTTTTGGCAGAAAATGGAAGCACTGGTTTTCAGTGGAGAAGAAGGGTAGGAAGTGTGAGGGGAGGGAAGTACCTACCAGAAATACATTTTCAAGATAGGAAAATAACTTCTAATACAGTACATTACCTCTTCTCACATAAATAGCTAGAATCCCACACTGAATAGGGAGAGGGACTGGTGCGAGGGAAAGGAAGAGGCTTCCTTCGAAAGCCTCCGACGAACACCCGAAAAGAAGAGATCTTCACATCGGAGGATCATATATGGGAGACCACACCACTTCTGTACCAGGTATACTCTTTGCCCAGTGTGGAAAGAGGTGATGCAGACATGGGCAGAAAATGGGAGGAGCACATCCAAAGGGGTGAGAACAATGGTTGGATAGGGATCCAACCTACACAATATCTGAATCTCAATCTCATAGATTACATGAATATGGGTGAGAGTAAAAAGAATGTGCCCCTAGGTGTAGTGTGGCTAGGGTTCAACGGACTGTACACAGCAAGCCAACTGCATCCAAAATCCAGCCACTGGGAACTGACATCCATGCAAAGATAGGATGAGGATCATACTGTTGGTAATAAAACTATAATCCAAAACCCAATCATGTGTGGGGGTAGAAAAGAGGATCATACCATCTTCACCTCGAGTTCATCAGACCGGAGGGAAATCTCATACCCAATAATCTGTGAACAGGACAGATGAGAGCAATATGATAAATTGTTTGTCCGATCTGGGAAACTGACATCCAGACGACTGGCATAAGGAAGATGTCCCTGTAAAGTTATAACTTTCCTATATAAAAATGTATTTCTGATAGGTACTTCCCTTCGCTCACAAGATTAGGTTTTCTCATTTTGTGCTGCCCTCTATATGTGTGAACTTCTTTCAGGAACACATGCCACAAGCCTTCATCCTCCCTCTGTTGCAATTCAAAGTTCCAACACATCTCTCATGCAAATCATCATGCATCACGTTTCCATAATAGGAAAGCATTACTATCATGTGACACATGTGACTCCCTAAACATGCCACTACCGAATTATCACTTCAAAGTTTGGCAGAAGATGCGACCACCAGAAGATTGTGGGGAAGATGAGTGGAGAGTGTGAGTGAAGGGAAGTAACTATCAAAAATAAATTTTCATTTAAGAAAATTATAACTCCCTCTACTCACAAGATAAGCTTGAATCCCACAGTGAAATGATAGCACAGGCATATACCCGAAAGCGTCCAGAGAACACCCCCGAAATGAGAGTAACAGATCAGATGTTCTGAAGAGGGGTACCGCACCACATCTGAGCCAGGAATCTCTTTGCCAGGAACAACGACATGATCAAGAAGACCAGACATGGCAGAACATTAAAGGGAGCACAACTGCATGGGAGAGGATAGTTTAGCAATGTGATCTTAAACAGAAATCAGAATCATTCAATCCCACAATGGAAAATGGGCAAGTGAGGATGTGTCCCATGGTGTTGAGTGGCTATGGCGTGATGGACAGTACTTCGTAAATCAACTACATCCAAAACCTCACTCACTGGGTACCAACATCCTCGCGAAGGTAGGATGAAGATCATACCATTTTCAACTCAAGTCCCAGAGACAAGAGGGAACCTAACATTCAATTCCAGAAACTCACAGGGTAGCCTAATGCCAGGTATCCGGGAATGTGCCATCAAGAATCCAAGGAAAGTCCATCACATGCACTCAACCCATGCGACCATGAAACCAGATCAAAACAAGCCTAGGTTGGTAACAACCTCGTCACCCAATGAGAGAAAACCCCAGGACAGAAGCAGAAACAGATCTTCTGTGACACACAACACAGAAGATAAGTTGAAAGTGGAAGATGGACAACCCAAAACCTGTGTGAGGACTTACGTGATTGGTTCACTCGATCTCCAAAACCTCACTTGCTGGATACCGACATCCACGAAAGAGTTGGAGGAAGGCACCCAAACAGAGAAGTGAACTGCATATGGGCATCTCAACTCCAGGAAATAGTCACTGATCCGGAGGATTTTGTAACTCCCTCTACACCGGCAGAACACCAATGCCCTACTCTGAACTGAATGGTTATAAACATCTTTGTGGAACCCATCCAGCAGGTTGCCTCTATGGTCAACCACCCCAGTGGCTTGGAGCTGGTAAGTGGTAAGGACTTCTTTACTTCACTGGAAGAAGGGGGGGGGGGGTGGAGAGTTTGGAGAGACTGCAACACCCAAGATATTGCAATGAGTGATCACAAAACCCTATTTTAAAAATCAGACCACACCAATTTGTTTAATCTAGGCATAGCAGGGATGAGCAGCAATCCCCTTCTGCTTTGCCCATGCTGTCCCTGGGTGGTACAGTCTGGGAAGGGCATATTATGACGCAGTTATCATGAGGAATGTACACTCTAGTGATCTTGTGAAACACCCCATCTCAAGGGGCGAGTGTACATAGACATGGAAAATGTATAAGAATCAACAGTGTTTTCAGTTTGGATTTGATATCAAGATGTCTGTGAATGGTTATAGCCATCTAAGTGGAACCCATTCCGAGTACAGACAGAATACCTGGTCAGGTACCACCTAGCCACAGAGCAGGATCCAAAGTGAAGCTGAAGCAGAGGCCCTGCAAGGAAAGAAAACATTAGTGAGGGCTTACCTCATGTCACAGTCACACCAGAGTAAGTAGAATGGTGGCAGGTGATACTTTGAGAAAGTAGAAACAGTGATGTAATATAGGTAGTGGGAGATGAACATGTGCAGAGTCATCCACATGTCCGGTTGTAGAATCTCTTCCAATGGCAGACAAGAGGCAAGGTAGAAGGTAAAGTAATGGATTTGATGTGAGGAAACGTGAAAGAGATCATGCTGGGAAGGAGACAAACAGGAATAGGCCAACTGGAACAATCGTCGAACCCAATTGGTCAGGGTAACTAGGAAAAGATCACGGGAAGAGTAAGGTTGCCAAGGGATAAAAAGGAGGGAAGGAGGACCCCAGAAAAAAGCTGTTTGAGCAATAGAACAACAGATGGCACAGAAAGAACAGAAGAGTCTATCCAGATCAGGGCGAGGGTAGAGATGAGATTCAGAGGATAGGCAGATAGGGGAAAAAAGAGGACTTACATTATCAAGCCGCAGAGGTCTTGGGTTGGAAAGCACAATCTGGATAAAGGATAAGGTAGGAGGAGTGGTACAAGGTCCTAGTAACATAAAAAATATCCGACCTATGATGCCTGCAGGACAGGAGGAGGCAGAAATATGCCATGAAAGAGAAGTGAAACAGGGAACATATAGACAGAGGTTTGAATAGAGGTAAAGTGAAGGCATGAAGGATGACATCAATGTCTCAGTCTGGGAGTGACTGACACCTTGGTGGCCGACAGAGCTGGGAAGGAATGGATCAACATGGAAAGGACAGGGGAAGCAAAGACCCTATGGAAATGAGAAAAGCAGAATATATGGGATAACCCTGCTCGAAGAGCCATGTGAGAAACTTAGAGATACAGACAACTATTGGGTGAGAAGCCTGGAAACCCCGATA